CACCCGGCAGCACCTGCCTGGCAGAGGGGACCAGGGTCGGACCAGGATACCCGCCCGGGAGAAGGAGGGATCCAAGGGATGTCCCCGCGGGTCCAGCCGTGATGAGATCTCTGCGTTCAGTCCACGAAACGCTCGTTTTCTCCCCAAAAACACAGGGGTGGAGCAGCCTCACCGCCCGCAGTGGGGCAGCAGAAGGTCCCGGTGCCCGGGAACCATGGGAACAGCTGCTCCATCCCTGGCAGGAGGCTGGAGCTGGGAACAACCCCGGCGAGGGGACACTGTGCCCACTCATCCTCATCCTCATCCTCATCCCACTCATCTCCCAGCGCCGGGTGCCACCTTGGCTCCCACGGGGAGGACAAGCATTAATCATTAACCTCCCAGCAAAGGCAGCCGGGTTTTCATTCCCGGGGTTGTTTTTCCCCGTGTCTCAAACAGGAATGTCCAGCCTGGAAGCCGTGGGGAGAGGAGCATCCTGCCGTGAGACCCTGGACACGTGGGGGACCAAATCCAGCAGCTCCCCCGAGGCTGAGGTGGTCTCAGGGCACGGGTTAGGGAGGGGAAGGTGGCAGGAGACACTTTTTGGGGTGAGGGGGCCAGTCCTGCCTCCATCCCTGGCACTCTGACCCCCACCCACCCCCTCCCTGGCCGTGCTCAGTCCCTGCTCTGGCGCCACTGCCTCGTGTGACAGCAGCTTCCAAAAATAAGCAAATTACTGCATCCTTCAGGGACACTGGAGGATGGGAAGCAAAGCCAAGTGTGAGGAAGCAGCAGAGAGGGGACGGGGGGAGAAGGGACAAGCCCTTGCAGGGGATCAAGGGTTGCAGCACCACAGAGGGGACCTGCTACGGGCTGGAAAGCAGAAGGGACACGGGGCAACAGCATCAGGGACTTCAGGGTGGCAGGTGACAAGGCTCAGCTCCCTGGAATCTGAGGCAGGATTTGCTGGAGCAGCTGTGGACAGGGAGGGCGGGCGCTGGGAAACCTGTGCCAGAGCCTCTCGGGGAAAAGGCTGGGAAGGGCCGGTTGGAAGTGCAAAAAAAACCCCAAAGCCGACAACTTCAGCAGGATCAGCTGTAGGGAAACAGCCTCAAATCCAGGATTCCAGCCCAGCCACCGCTGCAGGTTGTGCTGCTGCATCTCCCCTGGGTGACCTGGCGAGTCCCACCGCGCCTCAGCCTCCCCATTCCCACGCCAGGGATGCTCCTGTCATTCCCAACAACCTGATCCAGCGGGTTGTATCCCTGCCCACGGCACGGGGGTTGGAACGGGATGGTCTTTAAGCTCCCTCCCGACCCAAACCACGCTGTGATTCCACGACAATAAACATCCACAACACCCAATAAACATCCACAACACCCAGGATCGATGGAAAACCGAGCGCCGGGGGAGGAGCTCCCACGGCAGGTCAGAAAACCAGAAAAAGCCCCAAAAGCAGAGCGAGCAGGGGGGAGCAGGAGCCCAGCAGCCTCTCCCCGCTCCTGGCCCACCCCACAGCCCCCCTTCCCAGCGGGAATAACCCATCCCTGAGCGGAGCAGGGCCCCGGGAGGGCGCGGGGAGGGGGCTGGTGCGGGAGCAGCGGGATTACAGGAGCTAAGCCTGCCTGCTATTTGCTCATCTCCTGCGAGTAAATACCGCTGCCTGCCTGTAATTCCGGCCGGGAAAAACACCGGTGAGATGGAAATGGTTTCCCAGAAGGAAGCCCCGTGCCTTGGAGGGGGACGTGGAGCCATAACCAGCCACCCAGTGCTGCTGGAGCAGGAGCCAGGCACGAGCTCCACGCGGGTGATGTGGCCCCAGACACTTGTTTTAAAGACAAATGTGTCCTGTGTGTCCCTCTCTCCCCGTTCTCCCTCCCACATCCCAGTCGTTTTTCCCTCCCTGGCTTTTGCTGTGATGTGCCTTTGATGTTCCTTTAAAGTCCTGGCACCAAAGGAGCTCTGCCGAGGCTCTGCCTTTGGATCTTCCCGTTCCTCCTCCATCCCACCAGGAGCCAGCCCACCCCCTGCATCAGCACAGCGGGAGCCCCCCGCCCTCCGTGCTGCCTCAACTCTTTCCACAGTGGTTCCCCTGCGGGATTTTTCCCCTTGGATGTGCCCCTGGACCTCCCAAGCCCTGCAAGCCACAGGGGCTGAGACGCCCCTCTGACACCCAGCACATGGCAGGGATGGTGGCTGGGAGCCGGGATGGGATTCAGGGGATGGAAATGCTGGGAGAGGGACACCAGGTTGGCCTGGTCAGGGGATTTGGGAACACCAGGCTCTCCTGGCCAGGGGATTGGGAATGTGCCTGGGCACTCGGGGACTGGCAGGAGCGTGACACTGGCCATGGAGCAGCTGGATCGATGGCTCCCTGTGAGCACAGCCCGTCGGGAAGGGACAGCCGGGAGCTGAACAGGGCTGGAAGTGAGGGCAGGAATGCCAGGGATGTGCTGGGGCAGGAGGAGGGAGCGTGGCAGAGGCTGGGACGGGATCTGTGGGCACAAGGGGTGCGTGGGATGGAACTCCCGGGGACAGTGGGATGTCCTGGACCCTCCTCTGCAACGACAGCACTGCCACCAACACACAGGAGGATCTGGGACTCACAAACACAGCAGTGCAGGGACCCCCTTCCCCAAATCCCAGGCCCCAAAGCTCAGCCAGCACCTGCCACCACCTGTCCCCAGGCAGGGGGGGGTCCAAGGGAGGGGGGACAACAGCAGCAGCAACACACCACATCCCTGGGTGTCCCTGGGAATCCAGCACAGCCCTTCCCACCACCCGATCCCCTCCATCCCCCACCAGCTGCAGGTCTGGCTGCAGCCCCCCCTCTGAGGCCAAGAGATGGAGGAGGGCTGGCTCTGCACCCCCAGCAGCAGAGGCTGGCAGCTGGACACAGCCAGGGACCCCAAAGGGTCGTGAAAGTTTGATTTTGGGGGGGTGGGAGGCCGAGCCTGCAGCCACAGGGGACACAGGGGACACGGCAGTGGCCTCGAGGAAGCCCCCAGCACCTGCCTGCTGGGATCAGCCTCCCCGCAGGGCTCTGCCCCTGACAAGCCAGCCCCAGCTGCCTCTGCCTCATGCCCCACTTGGTAGCGGGGTCAGGCAGCTGGGGCTGGGAAGAGGAGGGGGATTTAACCCATAACACATTCCCACAGCCCGGGGAGAGCCGGGAAGGTGCTCCCGTTGCAACCAAAGCACTCCCAGCGCTGGGTGGAAAAATGTGTGATCAGAGAAAACTCATCCCCGTGGCTGCAACCCCCCGGCTGCTGCTGAGGAGGAACCTTGTGGGGCGGGGGACCCCCAAACCTCGTGCCCGTTTCATTTCTTAGCCACAAAAAAACAGTAAAAAACATATGAAAATCGAGGCTTTTGTGCCTTTCCCACTCCCAGCCCCAGGAATGCCCCTGAGAACCCAGACAGCTGAACATTCAGGGAGCTGCCGCTCACACACACACCCGTTTTTTACGCTGCAAACACTCCAGGAATGAAAACTCGGGACAAGTGCCCACATTCCGCGTTTCCCGACTCTCCCCCGCTCCCCTCGCTGCCGACCGCGGGAAAGCCCCTGGGATTGTCCACGGGGGAGAGCAAAACCCATCCCGGGGGACAACAACAACGCCAAGGTCATCCCGCAACAGGGGCCGACCTTGAAGCGTTGCCACAGCATCCCTGGGCGAGGAGGAGGAGGAGGAGGAGGAGGAGGAGGGGATGGAGGCAGGGGCGCTGCGGGGACATGCGTAGTTCACCCCGCACACAATGGCCCGACTGTTTGCGAGGTGCTGGCAGGAGCCGGAGGGCAGGGACAGCCCCCGGGAGTTGCCAGGAGGCTCCCGACAGCCCGGGAGAGGCGGGTCGGGGCACAGAGATCCCGGTGCAATAAAAGCAAAAAAGCAGGAATTCTTCCCTCCGTTCCTCCCCGCAGCCCGAGGGTGGGGACAGGGATGCCCCTTCCCCTCCCGGACACCTCCAGCCGAGCCAAACAACTTCGTTTTCTGCCCCAGAGATCCCCCAACGCGGAACACGAGCCCGTTCCTCCTCCCTCGTTCCTCCTCCCTCTCCATCAATCCCGCGAAGTGCTGGCGCAGCATCTCCCGTCCCGAGATTCCCGAGCTCACCTGGCGCCCGCCAGCCTGGGATCAGACGGGATTTGTGGGGAATGAGGGGTTTGGGAGAGGGAAGAGCTGCTGGGCATCAGGGAAGTGAAGGAGACACGGTGTGATGGGAAAGGTGGCAGGTCCCAGAGCTCGGCAGGGTCACCACGGGAGGGACAAGCTCAGCTCCACAGCTCGAGGAGGAGGAGGAGGGAGAGGAGGAGGACAAGGAAGAGGCTGGAAACCAGAGCAACCTTTGTATCTCTGCCTGGGAGCAGCCACCAGGATGGAGCTCCTCAGGTTGGCTTCCGACCCCACCCAAAACACGCTTTATTCCATCCTTTTCCCAGAATTCAGGTCTGTGCTGAAATGGAATAACTCCAAAGCAGCAGGATTGGACCGTGGGGTGTGCCCTGAGAATGAGGGCAGGCCACAGACTCGTCCTGCTCAGAGACCAGGTTTGTATCTGCACAACTCAGCCCAAAACTATAAATCCTTCTCACGAGCTTAAACCACTGCTGAGCTGGGAACAAACTCCTTTGGCCCAGGAATCCTCAACAAACTCCTTGGGTCCAGGAATCCTCCACAAACTCCTTGGGCCCAGGAATCCTCCACAAAACTCCTTTGGCCCAGGAATTCTCCACAAAACTCCTTTGGCCCAGGAATCCTACACAAACTCCTTTGGCCCAGGAATCCTCCACAAAACTCCTTTGGCCCAGGAATCCTCCACAAACTCCTT